TTTTGTGTCATTCGTGGTCTTCAAGGTTAGTATGTGTGATAACAAATGGTCCATGTCGTTAGGTTCCGTTAAAAACTTCGTTAGTTTGCTGACGTGACATATATATATTACAAAATATCCTTGATCGGTTCATGCACCCATCACAAATGATCCCTGTGAAATTTTTTATTTTTTTTCATTTAAAATTCATAAAATTTTGGCTTTCTTTTTAAAATTTTATGAATTTTAAATGGTTTTAAAATATATATTGTATTTTAAATACATGTGACACTATATTATTGGATATGTGGGCTTCACATATATGCCACATCACAAACTAACGGAGTTTTTTACGGAACTTAACGACAGGGACCATTTGTTATCACACATACTAACTTTGAAGACCACGAATGACACAAAAGAACATTAAGGATGCAATCTGATAGTTTCGTAAACCTTAGGGATGTTTTGTGGTATTAAGCCTTAATAGTTTCGTGACATAACATATACTAGACCATTATTTGGCTCCTAAATTATTTTTAAGAAACCTCATTAGTTTGTTGATGTGGCATGTATGTGGAGTCCACATCTTTAAAAGTATAGTGTTACATGTATTTAAAATACAATATATATCTTTAAATAATTTTAAAAAGAAAACCAAAGTTTTATGAATTTTAAATGAAAAAAATGTAAAACTTTTGCAGGAACCATTTGTGATTGGTGCGTGAAGTACTTACATAATCTATACTTCAATAGATTCGTGCACTTGCGGGTATTTTTAATTGGTTGTTTGCACATTAATTTGTGTCCTCTTAGGAATGCAACACTAACCTTGAGGACCACGGATGACAAAAAAAAAAACATTAAGGATGCATTCTGATAGTTTCGTAAACCTTAAGGATGTTTATAATCCAACCGTATAAATAACGTGAATTTTGGACGTACGGTTGGAAAGTTATAGGCAAAACACTGGACAGAGGTCGAAACTGAAAAACAGAGAAAACGACTCTGTGCAAAAACGACCGGTCGCTTTTACCTGACGACCGGTCGCTTTTCACGTCAAAATTTGAGTTTCGACTCTGCCCAAAAACGACCGGTCGCTTCTGCCTCACGACCGGTCGCTTTAGCACTGTTCATAGGTGATAAAAGGGTGATAAAAAGTGTTGTTTGTGTTTTTCTTTAGTTTTCTTGTGTTGTTTCATTTCTTTTACATTTCTTTACTCATTTTTAGTTTCCAATTTGCATTTGTGCATTTGTGGTGTGTTAAATTAGTATTCTTTACGTACTCAAATTAGAACTTATAGGAAGCCGACAAGTTCTTCGTGGGATCGACCCCGTACTTACATAATCTATACTTCAATAGATTCGTGCACTTGCGGGTATTTTTAATTGGTTGTTTGCACATTAATTTGTGTCCTCTTAGGAATGCAACACTAACCTTGAGGACCACGGATGACAAAAAAAAAAACATTAAGGATGCATTCTGATAGTTTCGTAAACCTTAAGGATGTTTTTGTGATATTAAGCCAACTATTAATAATCGAAACCATTTAACCACAATTAAAAACCTTGGTAATATAATTTCAAGGCCTAAGTAAATTGCCCAGGGATGAGGCCCACTATCAAGCATGGGTTGCTCTCAAGATGAAATTCGTTTTTGATTTGTTCTTTTATTGTAATGGTCCAAAGTGACCTGAATCGGATTCTCTTGTTAGTCCGTGACATGTGTTGTACTCTTTACTCCTTTGGGGTTTGTTCCATGAGGTTGTCCTATGAACCTATGAAGGTTTTAACGAAGCCACTATATCATATCGTTCTTTGTACGTCCTTGGTTCTATGAATGAATTCTCTTTCTCAAAAAAAGAACAATAAAACGATATTAAGTCCAACAAAAAATAAAAGAATATAAAGGACCGTTATATAAAAGAAGATTGATGGCAACCAAAATGAATGAAGGCAAATGTACAAAGGCCCAACACAATAAAATCAAATATATACTTGTTCTCATATTCGTCGTACTGCCAATGATGTGGCTCATCATATAGCGCATTTTGCCTTGCATATCGGGGTTTCTCTGTACTGGTTCGAGGAACCTCCTGATTTTATTGCTAATGTACTATATGAGGATTGTCACTCGTGATCAAGGAATTTCCTTTACCCTTGATACAAGTTTCAGACTTCTTGTATTAGCTTTTTCACATAAATAATATTTTATGGCTTATCATCAAATATATATACTTGTTCTCAAAAAAATATATATATATATATACTTGTTTTGAAATTTCAATTAAAATTTCAGTTTTAAAACACTTCAACAATAGCTCACTTCAATTTTATTTTTATATCAATGGTCATTAATTAGCTTTTAAATACTATTAACATTATTAAGATTCTGAAATTTATTTTAGAAACAATTGTGTTGATCAATTTAAGGATATTGACTTTGGTTTGTGTAGAAAACGGCACACCAAATATCTAGCTTTAAATTAATTTTGTAATTAATTGGCTGGTTGCCTTTGAGCAATTAAAGATTTAAATCTCTTCCAAAACGTGTAGACCAACTTGACAAATAGTTTAATATAGTTTTAACAGTTTTGTTAAGTTGGACTTTAAAGTTTGGATTTTGAAAACGTGTAGTTAAAGTATATTACCAACAACAATACGGTAAGGAAATAATTTATCCTACAAAGACTACTTTAGATTGTCATAAAAATTGTAGTTTTACTCTTTCTTTAAAAACCAAAAGCAAAACACTTTATAATATAAATAATATATCAAATAAATTATAATGTCTTTTAAGGTAAAGTAAAACTAATAGGATTATGAAAGCAAGTCTGGTATGGTGAAGCACGTCAAAGACGATGACCTAAAGTTTTTGGAGCCCCCCTACATGTAGGTACTGGCGGTTTACAAGACTCCAAGATATGACCCCCAGTACACAGGCTCAAGGTTCATTATGAGCACGTTCATAATCGGATATAGGTCTCCAAGTCACAGAACCGTTGCCCAAAAATAATAATATAAGTAGAGAAAGTATGAAAGGTAGAAGATGAGAGTAGGGACAACTATTAATAGCAAATTTACAACTAAAACTCACCAAAAGACAGTCACATTAAATAAAAATTCTCTGCAAAATAATTAATGAATTTTCTTGGATCAATAACTATACTATCAAAGTTTTACCTCAATTTGATCTTATGAGGACGAACTCATTAATTTGAGAAATTTCTTCAATTATGATTTAGAAAAAAAGGAGTGAAACCTCTAAGAATTTGAGAGAGAGAATTGAGCTTGATTCATGAAACTTTCAAAAGAAGGCTACATGGCTTATGACAGTTGGAGGAAAAGAAAAATAAACTTGAAAGCTATATTAAGGGTTGAACATGTTGGCAAAGAGTAAAGATCTTATGTACCCAATTTGTCTATCTCCTCCTGATACTCTATGTATTTGAGTGACACATGTCCCCATTTATTATTTTAAAAAACCTTATGTTTTAGTTCTCGTTTTTACCCTTGCTAATTTTATTTTATTTTTTAAAAATGACTGGTCCCATCCTCCTCCATCGTCCTCTTCCCCTTTTCCTCCTCCCGCCATCCCCACCCCAATCTTTATAAAATTTTATAAAAAACTTCAAATAAAGATGAAAACAAGCACTGAAGTGGTAGAGAGCGAAACTGGGCCATGAGATAGAGCGAGAGAAGTGTGTGTTCTTGTTTATTTTTCTTAAAGGGTTTGCCTTTTGTGTAGATTTAGAAACTGGAACGATGAAAAACATGGGAGCATTGACTGATTTTTGCCATATTTCCATGGTTGAGAGAGCTGGGCTTATTTTTCCCTTTCTTGCTTGTGTTTGAAAAAAAAAATATTTGAAAGGGTGGGCCAGATGGGAGAGGGATAGTTTTGGCAGGTCTTGTAAATTGAATAGAATTGCTTTAGATATACTCTGCAGGAAAGAAAAAAAAATTTGTTGACTTATATAAATTTGATGATTTTGCAGTTGCTTTGAACAACCAAAACGTGCCTCAAGCTTATGCACAAAAGAGATGCATGGAAATACTGTATCCAAGCGGCGGGTGTATTTTATAATGGACAAACACCATGACCAATATAATGGACATTCATGCATTCCTACTGTTCCTCTAACTGATGAAGCTTGTTATTGCACCTTCTTCTGTTAGTGATTTGTTCGACGTTTGATCGTCTTGAGGCGAAAAAAGAGCAAACAAATTGCACGATATTATGCGCGATGGAATAATTTGAATATTATTGTCAAAATAAAAAGCAATTGGCCAAAATCGATCTTTACATGCAAGCTCTATAAGTAAAACGAATTGCCGGAAAACAAGTGAAACAAATCAACACCACCATTAGCAAAAAATAGTAAGCATGGGAAGAACAGCCATTGTTGGCAAAACGAGCCAAATATAATGGTCTAATAATCTGAACCTTTTTAACCTGGATTAAAACCTTACTTTAATTTCCAAAAAATTGAAAGGCTCCCCAAACTATTTGCAAGGGAAAACAAGCCATGGATTGGCAAAACAAGTTAAATCAGGGTGTGCAAATCTTATGTGACAAGATTGTTGATGATAGTGAAATGTGAAACATCTCTCATTGACCTACCCAAATACTTGATTGATCTTACACAGAATGCAGAATGCAGAATGAGTGCTAGCTAGAAGTAAGCAAAATCAGCTTTGAGATCTTCTACTGAATCTGCACTCCTCCATAGAAATAGGTTGCAAGGTTCATTTAGCTACCCGAACACGGGGCTTCAAAGAACAATTCCAACTGGAGAGAAAAGGAAAATTAAAGGACGCAAATCTCCTCCATCAATCCACTAATTAATTTGATCCCGTTCCTAGTTTGCAGTACTTAAAAGTTCCCAAATTTCAGAAACATGAGAGAGGCCTAAGCTTTTCACATAACAATATGTCAAAAGAACACACAATATTTAGACATATTGTAAAAGATATATATGTACCACTCAAAACTCCCAAACTTCGAAACCATATAAGAATAGAGGTCTAAGATTTTGACATAAAGGTAAAAATTCAGACGAACATACAGACTTATAGAGTAACGCATGACACATGCATTAAGCAATTATTTATCAATTGTTCATCCTTACCTAAAAGAAAAGGAAAAGGAAAACAGTGTACTCATTTAATCTGCTGCTCTCAAAACCCTCCCAATTTCGAAAGAAACAAAGGCATCAACACAGGCATACTTGACTTGCGCAAGAGAGAGGCATGGCTTATCCCAGTGACTCGTAGTAATAGTCTTTGGCTTCTGAAACTCCTGGCCTAGAACCTCCTCTGCCATGTCCTTTAGACTCAAGTTCCGGGGCACGCTCCACCCGTACCTCCTCGCCTCCAAAACCCTAAGATCGACAAAATTTGCCACCACAAGCCCATAATCATCCATAAGTTTTCGAACATCTTCCCGAATTCCTACGCCCACAAAGGTAAACCTCGGATTCCCAAGAAAGTCAAACAGACACTTGGGGAGCCGAGGGGCGTAGCGAAGCTGAAATATGAGGCAACTGTGGCCCACACACAACTGTAGGGTTGCAACGGGGTTGATGATACCTTTGGTGAAGGAAGGACGCCACTCTATATCGAGCCCTACAATGAGCTTGTGGAGCCTGTAACTGTGAAGGTATTTTATTGTTTGGATCCAAGACCTGAGCTTGGAGGGGGTGTGTGTGACTAGGGTTTTGATATAGTCGTCGAAGAAATCTACTCTGTAGAGGTCGTGGGTGTTGCAGTCCAATTCGTAGTCTGTGATGGTGATCGACATGGCTAGCTAGGGCTATTATGCTTTGGGGAAGGAGAGTGGAAGAGATTTGACGGTTATTGACTGGAAGTTTGAGGCTTTTGGGGGAAATTTATAGGGTAGGGCTAAGACGGAAAAAAGGTATATAGGGGGATGAAAGAGGAAGGACAGCGGTAAAGGTGGGGCTTTAGGGAGAATTTCCTTGACTTTTTGATTTTCCTAACAGGAGAGGGGAAGGTTTTCTTTTCCCCTTCTATTCTGATTAATGACTTCTCCTCTTTCGAGGACCCAAGAATTAACAGAGTTCTAGAAACTTCAAGCTGCAAGCCCACATCAACCAAGATGGTATGATTCCCGCGGAACTTCCACCCAAGTCTCTTGACCTGCATCACAGGCTTGCTGTCGAATGCATCTTTACTGTTGTTCCTTGTTTTACATGGTATGTATAATTACTCTTAACTGTTAATATATATGTTGATGTGAAATTAAATCTTTAGAACATCTGATATCACAGTAATGTGAGGGTTGTCATTTCTCTTCGATTTTCTCAAAACCTTTTGTTCTCTCTCTTTCCGGGAAGTGCATGAAAGGAAAAAGAGGGAGTGAACCAACTTTTCCTTTCTACAAGTGGGCGACATACATCAGTAAAAGAGGGACCCTTGTGGCAGGCAGGCAGGATGGTCCAATTCGTTAATGTATTTTCCAGCTTTACAGAATGAGCCGTTGGCTGCAAGGATTGAGAGGGATTATCTCCAAATCGTCGCAATCCATGGAGAGTCTGCCACGATAAGATCTTTTGTGGGTCCTATTATGGAAGATATCAAAGCGTTGCTGAAGCAGGTCGCTGAGGATGGATGGCTTTACTCATATTCGCCTTGCAAAATGTGCCTTACATTTGGGGTCTATGATTTCTTGGTTTGAAGAGCTACCAGATTGTCTTTCAGATGTTCTCTTTGAGGATTGTAACTTCTCTTTGAGGATTGTAACTTGTTGTTTTTACAGATCGCACATAGAGACTGGGGCGGGGGTGCTCTATCAGAGGCAAGGTTCCTCCTTTCGCTAGCGGTTGAGTAGGTAGGCTACTTAGGTAGTCCAACAACCATACACTCATTTGGTGCAAAGATAATCGCCTAATTCTTAAAGACATAACCATATTTTTGTACTTGTTTTATTCATCCTCATCAATAAATACTATCGCATTTGTGCCCGTGAGCCAGTGAACCAATTATAAATATTGGGGGAGCTTTTTTATAAAAGTCAGTGAGTACTTTACTATTTGAGCCAATATGCAACTGGTTATGCTTGTTATTGCTTCTTCGATTGCAAGTGGTTTGTTTCAGTGTTCATCATGTTTAGGCACAAAAGAGCAAATAAATTTCTCCACTGAATATTTTTGAATATTTTTCTCAAAGAAAAGGAAGTGGCCAAAGTCGATCTTTATATATATGGAGAGGCTCATCAACTCAACTAAGTAGATGTGCATTCTCTATATGTAAGGGGAAGGAAATGTCGCTCTCTGTCTAAAAACCTTCTGCCTTTGCCTTTTCTTTTTATATTGAGTGAAAAGGTGAGAGTTGTTTTCTAATGAATCTGCACTCAAGCAAAATAATGACTTCAAAGAACCCATCATCCACCTGGAGAGAAAAGCAAAAACTAAACATGTAAATCTCTTCCTTCCACCAATGAATTTGATTCCGCTTTTAGTTTGCTCAAAGTTTCCAAATTTCAGAAACAAAAGAGAGGCCTAAGACTTTCAAAGTTTCCAAATTTTCAGCTGTGCAGTTAATCTCACACAAAATGCCGAATGTAGCATGAGTGCAGTTAATCAAATTATGCAAAACCAAACCAGCTTTGCGCTCTTCTAATCCATCCGCACTCGACCCTGTTGTAAATTGGCTCAAATTTTTGATTTGAATTAATTGTGTTTTCTTTGATTTGTGACCCTTGGGATTGTCAAGAGGCACTTAGAGAGTTAAGTGATCAAAGAGACACAAGGCAGGACGTGGGCAAGCTAAAAGGAAGGGAATGTCAGCCTTTGTCAAAAAGTAGGGAACAAAAGACACGTTTCTGCAGCCGTAAAAGAGAATATTATGGGCTGCTGATGATGCATGGCTCTAAGCTTCTTTATGGGCTGTGTGTGCTGTAAGCCACACTAGATGGAGAGAAAAGGTGTGGGCAGCTTGCCTTTGAAACCAATTGGAGGGGTGCGGCAATTGGTGAGAGAGAAGAATTCATATTCTTTCTCCTTTGTGTGAAGACGTGCGCCACTCTAAGAGAGTTTTGGAGTTGCTGCTCCTCTTTGTTGTAGCTGCACATTTGAAGACAGTTTCCCTGTCTGATCAGTGAGAGAAAAATCCATTTCTCTACTGGTCTCTGGGTGTAGTACTATTTGTTCTCTCGGTGTGTGAGTGACTTGGATATATTTGGGATTTGGGTTGTGAGAGTCAGGGCCATGGGCTTACGAATTAGAAGGGCCTCAAAAAATTTATATATTACCAAGAGCCCAAACTTTAAATAAAAAATAAAAACACCGTTTCTATTTCCAGCCAGAAGAACTCTTCCTCCCATAAAACAATTGCAGGCTTCCTCTTCTTCCAATAAACAAATTGCACGCTTCCTCTCTTCCCATAAAAAAAAATTTGCACGCTTCCTAAGCCACCTTTCCGCTTTCCACCCTATTCTTTTCACTTTTTTTGTCAGTATCAGACCCTTCTCTCTTTCACTATAAAACCCAACAAAATGCTCTCTTCAATATATTATTTTCAGTTTTTGTCTCATCCCACTTTTATTTTCAGATTTTTTTTCTTCTACATGTTTTCTGCAGAGGAAAACTGTGAAATATTGTATGAAGTTCGTCAATAATAATCCCAGATTTCGAATTTTATTTGCAACTGAGCTAGCCTAATTAAAGAAAGTTCTGCAAGGTAGGTTGAGGCTTTTTTTTTACAAGCATATGAAACAGGTTTTATGCTCCTTATTTGTTTTTTAAATTTAATTTTTTATCGGTTACTTTGGTTCATTGAATGTATTTGTTTCTTTGTTGGTTATGTTTGGTGTGTTTATTTTGTTTATTTGTTGTCTGTTTCACTTTCAAAGAAGCATATACAAGAGACCCACTTCATCTCCCCCTCGTTACCCCAAAACCACATCTCCCTCATCCCCTCCACATATTCACCCCACCATCCCACTTCCTTCTCTTTCCCCGTTGATGAAATTGAACAATTCTTTTTTAATTTCTCAAATCTAAAAAGTGTTCAACCCCATGATTTGGAAACCAAAGGGTCTGTAGAGGTTGTCAGATATAGAGAAGATTAAGTAGAGAAAGTGGAGAATATTAATGTAGAGAGAATTGGAGCTGCAACATATTTTCAGATTTCAACTTATTTCACTTTGTATTACTTACAACACATTTATAACTACAAAACAAAGTTTCCCTAAGACAAGAAAACAAAGTTTCCCTAAGACAAGAAAACAAAGTTTCCCTAAGACAAGAAAACAAAGTTCCCTAAAACAAGGTAACCATAAAATAAGGACTTTGAGCCAAGAAGTCAAGAAGACAAGAAAACAAAGTTTCCCTAAGACAAGAAAACAAAGTTTCCCTAAGACAAGAAAACAAAGTTCCCCTAAGACAAGAAAACAAAGTTCCCTAAAATAAGGTAACCATAAAATAAGGACTTTATGTTTCACACACAAGATGACAAGGTAAAAGGCTTCCAACTAACTAATCTATTACAAGCTAACAGAGGTTTTGACCCAAAAAAGAGGTCTATAAAGGTAGCGAAAGACACAAATATGCGACAAACGAGAAAAAAAATTTCTCACCACCCAAATATGCGAGAGATAGAGGTAGAGAGAAAGAGAGAGACAGAGATTTGGTAGCGAGGTGCTGCCACAAGTAGCTGGTGCCAAAATTAAATGAACAAACAAGGGCAGGTGCAACAGCAAGAAAGTGGAAAACTAAGGATTTTCGATTCTTCAGTTTCTACCAAGGGTAAATTTGGAAATACATAATGTTTTTTCATAATTAAAGGTTGTTAGCATTTTCCACGAAATTATTCTATTTAAGCAAAAAAAAAAGGCATGAGCAAAAAAAAAAAATTCTTGTTTACTAAGGGCCTCACCTAATGTTGGCCCTAGGGCCACCAAAATGTCAGGGCTGGCCCTGGTGAGAGTTAAACTCTGTAATTCCTAGGATAGGTGAGAGTGTTTAATCTCCTTTGTTTGTAATCTCCTTTGGGATACTAGTGGAAGTTCATGCCATCTTCGAATTGGACGTAGGCTGCACACGGGCCGAACCAGTACAAATTCTTGTGTCTCTTGGATTTTGCTATTTTCATATTTATCTTGTTGTTTCAACGGTTCCATATTGTCCACCTAGTGCAATCCGCTTCCGCTGCGCACAATAGACCCTAATTAAAGCAGCAATATTCACTCAACCCTCTTCCCAATTTCGAAAGAAACAAAGGCAACAACACAAGCATTCTTGAAAAAAACGTTCTCGTACAAAACCATCCTTATCAACAAATCTTAAAACAATGGCCATTTGCTCTATGTTAGATGCATCTTTTGCTTCATTAACAAGAATACAATAAGTCGATTCCCCAACTTCCTCACAAATTTTAGTTCTCACTTTGTTAGGGAGAATATGCAACATCTCCTTTTGAATCAATGGTGAGGTATATTTAGCATTTCTCGAGGCATTCTCTAAAACAACTTCAGCACTTTTATCATTCCAAAGTGATGTATATTTTATCAGTTCAATGAAATTTCCTCGATTCATTAAGTCTATGGATTCATCATGACCTCTAAAAGCACATGCTTGAAATGTAAGCCACCGAACACTCTCAATTGTTGCCTTTAACCATAACCGATTCTTCCAAATTTGCTCTTTTCATTGTTTGTGAATAACATTCTCAATATGTTGAGATGATTTCATTAAATCATTAGCATATCTTACACAAGTGTTATTGTAACATCCCGACCCAAAATAAGATTATTCATAAATTAATTTAATTTAATTAAATGTGAAGTTACAATTTTGCTCTCGGGGTAGGGGTAAAATGGTCATTTGTTAATCCGGAAAGATTTTGGGGCATTGAGTAGTATTTTTACATAGGTCGTATTGAGACGAGTTCGTAGACATGCGGTAGGCTTGAATCAGAGTTGTAACGAGAAAGATACGATCTAAAAACTCTTAGTGGCACAATCGTAATATTTTTGAAATTGAATTTTAATAAAAACAGAAAACCCTCCCGTTTCTCTC